ATGTTTGTTTAATCAACTATGAAATAAGCATGGTGCAAACAGGAGGCCAGATATAATTATTTACTTTCATTAATGTTTTCCAAAAACCAAGTTTAAAACTACAATTCTTAGAAATACTCTTTAATGTGGCTTGAAAATAATATTCCCACCTGCAGAGTACCTGAGCAACTCTTAGACGAGCAATAACTATCATACAGGTTCAGTATCTAGAAACTTAAGAACTGGTATAAACGTTAGCAATCTGTAATCAATGAGTTAATCTTTGTAAGATCTCAAGGATCTAGAATCCCTAAATTTGACTTTTCACACTCTTATCTGTTCATGAAATGTTATAACACCAAAAAGATCCTTAAATGAAGATACCCAAGGTCTTTCAAATACAAATTTATTTAAATAATGTTGCACAATGATAATTCAGAGGTAGCTGACCAAATCACATTTTCATCTGGAAGTTTATTTTCCAGTGATTACATTTAGAATTGAAAGAAACACTCTGAACATTAAAGCCTAAGATCTTCTTCCACACTTGTGCTTCCTAGAGCCAGATCTTTGAAATTTAGAGATCTGTTTCAGTGCTCCTGATTCAAAAATCAGCAAAAGAACAATTCCCAAACAGAAAGGGCAATCACAGTTAAGTAAATAATCTCATTCAGTGAGGCTATTTAAGCCAAAAAAGAAGTTATTAGGTACTGTATTATCTACCACTTTAACAGACTGTATCAACTCTGAAGACCAAAGAGCTTTCAGATAAAGAATATTTCTTTCGATCCTCTACCCCTAATCTCTCAGAAGGCATGTCTAATAAAATGATCCACAGATGGAATCTTGCCAGAGAAAAAGACATTATCTGGGCCCTTTCTCACAGTGGAGTTCTCCATTTGGAAAAATAAATATATAAAAGCACATTGTGGAAGCTAGAGAAGAGGGATGGCATCTACAGAGGCAACAAGCTAGTGCCCAGAATATCCACAAGTCTGTTTATCTGATCTGTTGCCTAATTTACTATAAATCACATCTAAGACTAGGACTCTATACTATACTTTTGCAAACATTTACAAGTTATCAGATCATATATGTGATATCTTTGCATGCAAGGCAGACAAATTATTAGATGAACACTAGGATAGAAGGCTGTTGATCACATGATCATTGTTAGCTTAAAGGAAAAGTTTCAAATGGAATAACACAGTTACGTCCTCCTGGCTGTAGGCAAAGAACGATGCCATGCTTAGTATTTTCTACTAACAACTTACTTTTAAAACTGGCTATCAGGAAGTATTCATTCCCTACTGTTAGGAATATTCATATTTAGGCTGGGCAGTGCTAAATGTCAGTTTCAAAAAGTAATTAAATGGAGAACATTTCTAGCATAGGAAGAATAAGGAAGAGAAATAACATTTGACAAGGTATGTACGCATGTTGTACAGGAGGATAATAAACCATCTCCTTCAAGTACCTTTTTTTAAAATCCAAGTGCTTTTTAACATCATTTTAAACTGCCAGAAATTTACTTGAGACTTGAAAGCACTAGACAGGTGTCATGATGCCATTTTTAGTAATGGCAACTTGGGTAAAAAGAACCAACATTATATCCAACCATCTCTTGGCTCTAGACAAAAAGCATAGGAATGGAGGTATGGGGGATAAAAGAGAGACTTTACTGAAAGAGATTATATCTGACATGATCAAAACACCCTCTCCCAATTTTCCTTAAATTAGCTCTAACTGAGATGCTACTAATGATATTCCATCTCACTTCTGATTTGCTTCCTTTGGAAAAAAGAAAAAAGATAAAAAGTTTCAAAAGTGCTATCCTGGCTGGGTGCGGTGGCTCATGCCTATAATCTCAGCACTTCGGGAGCCCGAGGCAAGCAGATCGATTGAGCCTAGGAGTTCAAGATTAGCCTGGACAGCATGGTGTACCCATCTCAACTAAAATTACAAAAAATTAGACAGGCATGGTGACGTGCACCTGTAGTCCCAGCTACTCAGGAGGCTAAGGTAGGAGGACCACCGAAGCCTGGGAGGTCAATTCTGCGGTGAGTCATGACTATGCCACTGCACTCCAGCCTGGGTGATATAGTGAGACCCTGAATCCAAAAACAAAATGTGCTATCCTTCAAAAGATCAGGAGCAAGGCAAAAGAGCAAGAATCAGTAATTTTTTTTTCTTTCTTTCTTTTTTTTTTTTTTGCCTAAAGTCACCCAATGGGGCATTAATTTGAGAACACTGTCCTAAAAAAGAAACTAGCATCCAAATTCCAAAGTGCTCTGTATCTTAAGGAATCCACAAAAAATAAACATATAAAAGCACATTATTTCCTGGAATAGGTGGTTGTCTTGCAAAAAATAAAAAATAAAAAAATAAAGCACACTATATAAAATGTATAAAAGCATCCATCAATCTATATTGTTCTCATCCTCAAAGGATTATGAATGTGGAATATCAATGTTATGGCCGTATCTTTAGATAACTGTTTTATGTGAACATCATCCTTCAGAATTATTACCAGGCAATCTCCTACAAAAAGTAATACTGTAGTGAATTACTAGAAAAAAATTTGCCACAATCAACAAGCCATCAAGACCAAAACAATAAAAAGCAAAAAACAGAACAAACAGTATAATTTTATAGAAATTAACATTTCTTTAGTTTTTGGTATTTTCCTAAGACACATGCTCGCCTTTCTTTCACCAGCCGATAAACAGCTCTACTTTTAAAAACTGATACTAGGCCAGGCGCGGTGGCTCACGCCTGTAATCCCAGCACTTTGGGAGGCCCAGGCGGGTGGATCATGAGGTCAAGAGATCAAGACCATCCTGGTCAACATGGTGAAACCCCGTCTCTACTAAAAATACAAAACATTAGCTGGGCATGGTGGTGCGTGCCTGTAATCCCAGCTACTCAGGAGGCTGAGGCAGGAGAATTGCTTGAACCCAGGAGGTGGAGGTTGTGGTGAGCCAACATCGCACCATTGCACTCCAGCCTGGGTAACAAGAGCGAAACTCTGTCTCAAAAAAAAAAAAAAAAAACTGATACTAGCCCCAAGTGCAGTGGCTTATGTTTGTACTCAGTACTTTGGGAGGCTGAGGTAGGAGGATCAACTGAGCCCAGGAGATTGAGATCAGCCTGGGCACCAAGGCAAAACCCTGTGTCTACAAAATACAAAACAAAGTTAGCCAGCCATGGTGGCATGCACCTGTAGTCCCAGCTACTTGGGAGGCTGAGATGGGAGGATTACTTGAGCTCACGGAAGTCAAGGTTGCAGTGAGTCATGACTTCACCAAGGTACTCCAACCTGGACAACAGAGCAAGATGCTATCTTTAAAACAAAACAAAACAAAAAACTGACAGTATATATGAACAGTAGAACTCTACTTATTTCTAACAGAAAAAAAACTTCATTTATGAGTTAATTTGCTATCTAAAATTGGACTTCAAATATTCCAAATACACTAGACTCCTAACATTTTCACAAAATTGTAAAACGCTCAGATGATATGACCTATCAGTTACAATATTAAAACAGTATTTCAAAAAAGAGCAGAAGAAAATTTTTCGGAAGAGAGGCCTATGCTGAAAGACCACTGTATTACCATACACAAATCTAAACTGTCGATAATGCACAGCAAAAATAATATTATGTCCCACAACCTGGATTTGATACTTCAATCTGACACATACCAGGGTCTGGCAATTGTCACAACAAAACCATTAGAAATATTCCTCTAATCAAAGTATTTATGTACAGTCTATATAATCTGATTGTGATGTTAATTCAAAAGCCTATCCTGTAGGAGTAAAGGTGATTAACCTATTATATATGTCTGTCTTTTATTGTTGCTAATCATGACATTTATCATGAGCACTGTGGGTTATCGTTCCTTTCAGGATTATCTAGACACAGTAAACTCCAAATCTTTGTGTTATGGCCCCAAATACTTTATAGGAAATCTAAGCAATATTGTGAAAAATTTGGATACAGAATTCTTTATTTACAACAGTGACTTAGCAAAAGTTTAGAGCTGGTAAATTTTTTTTTTGTGAGACGGAGTCTTGCTCTGTCACCAGGCTGGAGTGCAGTGGCGCAATCTCGGCTCACTACAACCTCCAACTCATGGGTTCAAGTGATTCTTCCGCCTCAGCCTCCCGAGTAGCTGGGACCACAGGCGTGTACCACCACGCCCAACTAATTTTTGTATTTTTAGTAGAGACAGGTTTTCACCATGTTGCCCAGGATGGTCTCAATCTCTTGACCTCGTGATCCACCCGCCTCAGCCTCCCAAAGTGCAGGGATTACAGGCGTGAGCCACAGCATCTGGCCAGAGCTGGTAATATTTTAAGATATAGTCTTCCTTTATATTTAGTATCAGGAAAAGCTGTGTCAAATATTCTATGTAAACTATCCAGTAGATGCCTGCTAATATGCTAATTACAATATACTGTTAATACTAATATCAACTTCTCTAAGTCACAAAAGTCAAAGATAATGCATAAAGCAAATTTTTTAATAAAAGATTTTAATTGAGAATTAAATGTAAGTAACTAAGATAAAAGCAGATGTCAAGCCTGCCAGACTTCACATATCTGGATGATGTCTAAGCACTCATTAATTGTTCTATGCTATCTAGAACTATAAATCAAAGCATACTGTGGTAATTCAAGATGTTTCCATTTTATAAATCAACTAAAAATGATATAAAACATATTAAAAAACAAAAACACTACCAACCATGTCTTTTCTAATGGAGACATGAAATATCAGAACTGTAAAGACCATGTTGTCATAGAATACATGTGTAAAGCTGAATTTAAGTCTTTTTTTGGAGTTTTTCTTTTTTAAGAGTTGAAAAAATCATCATGTTAAACCTAAAATTATAGTGAAAACATTAATTTTAGCTGTAATAAAAACATTATGAATAAATATTTATGAATAGATATTGAAAAACTTGGGGACTAATAAACAAAGCAGAATTCATGGTTACCATATTTACACATACTCTTTGTTGTGTTTCAGTGCCACATGATCTGATTCAAAGTAATAAACATCAGGATCATCATCTTCCTCTTCTGTAATGTGCTGACTGGCACTCTCTTTGGCAGATGGCAAATGTCCAATATTGAGTCTTGCCTCAGAGGGTGGTTTACTTAGTCCTTCACTTCCATAATTTTGAGAGTCACAACATATCCCTTTTTCATTTTGAGAAATTTCACCAGGATTTGTGGGAGATTGACTTACATTATCACTAACAGTTGCATGTGTTTCATTGGGACTAAGATTATTCTCCTCAAATTGTCCGTTTTCTCTGTAAGGAGAACTGTTTTTAGTGGGACTACCTCTGGTAGGGGCTGCCCTTCGTGGTGAGGTTCTCAGAGTATAACGATGTTCTTGAGGTTCTGATAAAGACATCATTTGAGCTGAAACACAGTCTACAACAGAAGATGGTTCAGGTTCTCTGTAGGCTGGCATACTCTCAAGACTTGGGTCCAGGTCGCTACTGTTTTCTTTACACTGCTCTTTTGAGGCACTGCTATCTCCCACCACATCTACTTCCTCCTCAGAATCCCTTAAAGATGACTGAGTTTCAGAAAAGGGCCCTGTAGCTGGCTCAGTAGTCAGCTGATTAACATGTTCCACAGGCAGGCAGGCAGTTACTATTTTGTGGTCCAACTTGACCTGCACTTGTGAATTTGTGCAAGGCACGTTATGGTCTATATAACTGTCCTCCTTCCTACTATCAAGGAACACTGAAGTTTGGGTATCCGAATCCCCATTTTCAGCTACTGATTTTTCCTGTAACACATAGGAACCAATGCTATTTTGTTTAGTGTTCCCATCAGGCTGACAGTCATCACAGTTTATAACAGCTGAATCACTGTCATCAACACCATTGACAGCCAAATAGCCTGTGATTTCTTCAACTACTGCAGAATTAAGTGGCCCTTCCTCACTGACATTCACCTTTTTAATTTCCCTTTTCTCACAATCATCCAGTATAAGACATCGACAAGCTCGTTTAGTCTCTTGAAAATCTGCATCATTGTCCACTACTGTACTCCTCTGTTCTACTGACTCTTTGTCTGATTTTATAGGCGAATCTTCTTCTGAACTGTTTGGTGCTTCAGATCTAAGACAACGCTTAATTCTTTTTAAAACTGGTGAAACAGGTTCTGTTTGCCTTCTCTCACAATTTTCTATAGCCTGCCTTTCTACGTTATCCTTTTCTGAAGAAGAAAGTCCTCTTTTCCTAGGGCTTACCCATGATTCTCGGGTACTCTGCTGTTTTAAATCAGTGGTTCTCCCATTATTATTTCCTTTCTGAATTGGCACAGGCTCTGGTCTCTTCTTTGGTGATCTTGATCGCACTTGAGAATGAGAAGAGATTTCTTCAGGATGAGCAATGCTACGATTCCTTAAAGTTCTACCACAAAAAGATTCATCCAAGCCGTTTAACCCCACTGTTGATCTTGTAACACGAGTAGATCGGGAAGCAGCCATACTATGGCAAGTCCCTACAATACGGTCATCATGATCCACTCATTGGGAAACCTTCAAAAATGTAAACAAAATAATGAGAAAAAGGTAATAGTTAATATACCTAAAACAAAAGTATAAAGCTATAACTTTTTAATCCAAGTACACTTGGATGTTATGGTCTATATAACTGTCTATATAACTGCCAATATTAAATTATGTGATAAAAATTCTTTTATTAACATTTCCAATAGTGACATAAATTACAACTAATAAGTAAATATACAGCACTTAATATGTTCCATGAGTCTTTCTATATGCCTTACATACATTAACTCACTTAAGTCTCACAACAACTCAGATAGGTGCTACTATCATCTCTACTTCACGAATAAGATTAAGGCACATTCTCATGAATCAATCCAAAGCCACAATCTACTAAATGTCAGGGCAGGGCTCTACAGACCATACCTGCCTCACTGTGTATCTGCCTCTCAGATAGGCACAAAGTACCCAGAAAAGATCCATCCCAAAGATGTGATTTCATTTTGGTTATTAAAAAAATAATCTTGAACCTACATAGCAGCTATCTTACAAAAACTATTCCAATCACTTCTCATGTTCTTTCAAAATGTTCCTGGTATATAGAAAGGCAGGCCTTCCTCTTTTTAATCTACTTTTACCAAAATAAGTTTCAGATCAAATCCCTTGATAACTAATGATCTGGCACCTAAAAAATTCTGATTGCAGTATAATTTTTCATAACAAAATATAGATAAAAATCACAATGCTAGCATACAATGGCTAAGAACAAAACAAAGCAAACCCAAGCCTTCCTAGTCTCTAGAAATAATGCCTTAAATTAGCAAGTGAAAGGAAGTGTTCCAAAGACCAGAAAAGAAAATGGGAAAGAAGCCTCTGAAGTAAATACTTACATTTAAGAACTCTGAGCACTCATATAATCTCACCCTTTCCTTCTCTAACTCCTGTGTATAGTGTTTGCCAGTGCCTGTTTTAATGTGTGGTTTGGGAGATGAGCAGGTTTTCTGGTGTGGATGCTTGAGGTTTACATGACAGAAATGTAAGTGATGTTGAAAAATGCCTTGATTGATTCATTTGGGTAAACTAGTGACAGAGGCTCTCTCATCGAGCAGAATAAAGGAGCTGTTAACATTTTAAGTCTCTATTCCCCTGCTCCTCTTCTGTTTTGTTTTCACAAGATACTCTCATTTTATTGCCTAACTTCGAATGAGATGCAGGATGATCAGTTAGACAAAGAGGCCAGTGGTGGTTACAGTGCAAAGTTTCACAGTCCCTTCCTCCTACCTTTGGATATCAACAGTTTCCCTTCCCATATAAACTTCCAAATGCCATTCTGATCCCTCCCCTAAAAAATCAAACACAATCCCTCCTTTGCTTCAACTAGAAGTATCTAATAGTGGAAAGGTTAGAAGAATTACAGAAGAGACAGCAACATACTACCACATATAAAAAAGAAACACTAAAAGAAATTACCTCCCTGTTCTTGCCTGATGACAAGCAAATTAAGTGAGAAAGTGCCCTGTAAAATATTTAAGTTGGCTGAGTTTACTATTGTCTTAGAGTATGGCATACTTTTAAATTTTTAATTAACAATTTTTCAAAATCTTTTAAGGTCACAAAACTAGCCCCGGAATTAAAGCATGGTTATTTATTCTAGTGAATTTCATAGCAATCAAGTGAACAGTAAGTACGAGACTCCAATCAGAACTTAGAAACACATTTCTTAAAGTAGTAAACTTTTATTGTTTTGGGGATTCATTAAAAGAAACACTGACATTTAATTCTCATTTACTAATATATTATCATTAAGATTACAATCTTTCTGCTTTTTTCATGGGTAGCAAACGCTGAGTGTCCCACAGTTTTCCACTTTTAATTATATAACATTTAAGTTAAACTTCAAATGATGTTTTAAAAGAACACAAACTGGCCGGGGGTAGTGGCTCCCGCCTGTAATCAAAACATTTTAGGAGGCAAAGACGGACAGATCATTTGAGGTCAGGAGTTCATGACCAGCCTGGCCAACATGGGAAAACCCCGTCTCTACTAAAAATACAAAAACTAGCCAGGCATGGTGGCACACACCTGTAATCCCAGCTACTCAGGAGGCTGAGGCAGGAGAATCACTTGAACCCAGGAGGCGGAGGCTGCAGTGAGCCAAGATCGCATGACTGCACTACAGCCTGGGCGACAGAGCGAAGACTCCATCTCAACAAAATAAAAATAAAAGAACACAAACTGAAGTATATGAAAAGCAACTTGTTTCATGTATCCAAATCTGGCACTCTAAAATGTGAAGATTACTGATTTTTAGATATTAAATATGTATGTAAATGCACAAAAAAGTATAAGAGTAAGTTAATTTTATAAACTGCCTATAAAATCTAACACAAATTATGTTTAATGCAAATTTAATTATATTCATAATTTACAGTTCAAAAATAATACTGGCAATAGTAGTATTTTATAAACACACAGAAGAATCTGTTAATCTTTACTTTTTAAAATGCAATCCCAATTAAGGGCATATAAACCTCTTAAATGATTACAATAAGACTTCCTTGATCTTTTCTTTCCACACAAATCTGAATGGCAGCAAAATCTCTGCCTCGAAGTACAAATTTCTCAGAGACTATTTTGGATGAAGTGAACCTATTATTAGTAGTACTAAGAATGTGTTTCTTACACATGTATTTTTTACCATAAAATATCACCTATAAGCTGGGCATGGTGGCTCAAGCCTGTAATCCCAGCACTTTGAGAATCCAAGGTGGGTGGATCACTTGAGCCCAGCAATTTGAGACCAACCTGGGCAACATGGCAAAACCCTGGCTCTACTAAAAATACAAAAAAATTATCCAGGTGTGGTGGCACATGCCTATACTCCCAGCTTCTAAGGAGGCTGACTGGGAGGATCACCTGAGCCTGGGAAGTTGAGGCTGCAGTGATGTGACTGCCCTTCAGCCTGGGTGATAGGAGTGAGGCCCTGTCTCAAAAAATTAAATAAATAAAAATAAAAATAAATCACCTATAGTGAGGACTATCTTATTTCTTCACCATTCCACTGATTAAAATATGAAAACACTGATGAATACAAAAGTTAAAGAAAATATGAAAATTCTGATTAATATAAAAAATTAAGCTTCTTTACGTTTCTTTTGTGCCCTAAAAATGCTTTTATTTCACTCAATAACTAGAACAAAGCCCTAGTTTTAGGATTCTCAAATTCTGTGCTATTAGGTTGTAAGAGAACTTGTTTGAAAGAGAACTTGTTTTATAACAAGGATCCCTGTGGTACCTCAGACTCTTACAACTCAATCATGGGCATCTCCTGGGAGCTTCTTAGGAATGCAGAATATAAGGCCCTGCCCCAAACCTACCAGTGAATCAGCTTCCTAGGTGACTCATTTATGTGTTAGGGTCTAAGATGCCTTAGGCTACTGCACTCAGACAGAATTTTAATAACATAATAGTCATCAAGTTTCAAACTAAATCAGACCTATTTATAATATACCCTTTAACTCCTTATTGGATCTTAATAATAAAAAATTTATAAATAAGGCCAAGGAAGCACCAATGGAAGACTATTAAAAAATCCTGCCAGCCAAGTACGGTGGCTCACACCTGTAATCCCAGCACTTTGGGAGGCCGAGGTAGGTGGATCACGAGGTCAAGAGATTGAGACCATCCTGGCCAACATGGTGAAACTTCATCTCTATCAAAAATACAAAAATTGGCTGGGTGTGGTGGTGTGCGCCTGTAGTCCCAGCTGCTCGGGAGGCTGAGGCAGGAGAATTGCTTGAACCTCGGAGGTGGAGGCTGCAGTGAGCCGAGATCATGCCACTGCACTCCAGCCTGGCACCTGGTGAAGAGCAAGACTCCGTCTCAAAAAAAAAAAAAAAAAAAAGCCAAACACCAAAAAACAAAAAAAACTTGCCTAAAATTAACATGTGATGTGCACTTGAGGTAATAAACTGATTAAAACCATTAAGATTAGAGTTAAACAAAATTTTGCCAATCTTCCCTCTGATGATATTTTTTCTGTTCTAACCTTTTTCTTCGTATCTTATCAATTTTGCATAGTTATATATAAAAGCATATAGTTTCTATAGTTACCTAAAAAACTGAATGCAAAATTCAGTTAACAAAAAGGGACCACAAACGTCCAGATTAGCCAGGGGTAGAGAAGTGGAGGCACAGCTACTCAGGAGGCTGAGACAGGAGGATCACTTGAGCCTAGGAATTTGAGAACTTCCTGAACAATGGTAAGACCCTATCTCTTAGATAAAAAATAAAAAGTCTGTATTATCTCAACCAAGTCTCAACATTGTTTTGTCATGCTTAGCAAAATATTACAGACTAAAGCAGTTGTTTTCCTCATTTTAACTGTATTGCAAAAAAAAAAAAAAAAAAGCTACTTAAGAATAAAATAAAGAAGCTTAGAGTACAAAATTATATTTCTGTCCATTATTGAGAAATCATTATGAACTTATTTACAAATTATCTCAGGAAATACCCCTGCTTGCTAACAAAATAAGAGTTATATGTTGAAAACCTTAAGTGGGCATCCATTTGAAATTAGAAATGCAATCATTCCAGTTTTAGAATTAAGGGGAACCATTAATTAATATGGGCAAAACCCAATCTAACTAACAACTACACTGGAGTTTTTCCTATATGTTATCTACCAACTAATGAATAGTGGTACTTTCTAGAATACAGAGAAAAGAAAATGTGATCAGTAACTAGAATTAACCAGACTCCTTCCCTCTATTCCCCACCTTCATAAATTTCTCATCCTATTGGAGGCTATACATCTGAGAAGGACCAGTCAACCAAATTTCAACTTGTCTATTCATATTAAGTTCCCAATTCCACCTATAATTTCACATATCCTACCCACTTATTTGCTGCTGGATTGCCTTCCCATAAATTTGAATTTACTATTACCCAAATATAACTACATGATTCTGAAAAACACTCTCTGAAGTATTATCAGCTATGTTTCAGGTCATAAATTTCCAGCTCCTGTGATCATACCTGTAGAACTGCATCAATTAGAACTAAAAGGAATAATAATTATTAAACAAAAAAGGCCCACCTAATGACACACTTCAGCTATTAAGAGCAAGAAATTTCAAAAAGATATTTCAAAGGCCTTGCCTATAAGCTTTTGTTCCTACTGTAATCACCAAAGCAGTAAAGTTTGTTTTGGGAATTGAGGAAATGGAAATCTTCCATCACACCAATGTTCTAGTTGATATTTATTATCATAATAGTTTTATTTAGTGAACAATTTCTAAGAAACTGGTCATGATACTAGTATATATTCAGGTAGACAAACCAAAGGAAAAGGAAAAAAGAGCAAGAACAACTGGAAAATGTAACCAATATGACTCTTTTTCTAGTTGTCTAGAACATAAACTATTTAATAATGTTGAGGCCATGTTTGTCATATAATTATTTTAAGACAAATTACTTCGGCTGTCCAATTAACACCATATCTATGATGTTAAAAGTAGTAGAGTAAAACCTGGGAACCCACCCATGAAATTCAACTTAAGGTTCTTAAATAGTCACCTCTTTGAAGTGTGGGAACTCTATTATGTACTATCTTATATAAAGAGACTTCTTATTTCTTTCCCATTAAGAGAAACTGATATATGATAGATGATCAGTAGTTAGGTAGGTAGTAAGTAGGTAGATAGGCAAGCAGACAGGCAGGCAGGCAGGCAGGCAAACAGACAGACAAAAGTAAATGAAATTTCACTTTAAAAGACAATCAGGAAAAGGAAAGTCAAGGAATTTCACAATGCCTCTTGAGTAAAAAATTCCAACATAATCAGTCACTTCATTTATACTCCTGTTGAAAAAAGAATGGAAAATATTTCATTCCTAACCCATTCCCTATAGCTCCGTACTCCTATAAACAGCCAGCCAAACTACAATTTGCCACACAGACAATGTAGGGAGAAATAACAAGTGCCCACAACTTAAAAAAAAAAAAAAAAAAAAAAAAAAATGTCCAACTATAGTTGTCTTCACTACTGCAAAACTAAATAACTTACCTGTACAACCAAAGATCTATCATTGTGGAAATATAATCTCTTTTCCTTATTTCCTGAAGGAGTTGGAGCTATGATCTAGAATGGAGCTTAAGCATCAGGGTTTCAGACTCACTCAGCTTCAGCCATGGAGAATACTAGAACCTCCTAAATTTCTTTCTTAAAAATAAAATAATAAAAAAAAGAATTAAAGAAGAAAATGAACTTATTACTAATAGATTTACTCCTTCTTTAAGAAGAAGAAATACAGGTACAGAATCTGTTCATAGTGACATCTTTAGTGCTTCTTGATAACTTAGTATCAAGGATACTAAGAAACTGATAACAGGATTTTTAGAAATCAACAAAAGCAAACCAGAAAGATCCTGAAATATACCAAAACCTTACAACTCACTATTAGTTTGAACCAAGCCCAAATGTGACTCAGTTCTATTCTAGACACTGCTCTAAGGCAGTATTTTTTTTGAGGTGATCTGAAGATTGCCCTTGATAACATTTCTTGTAAGAGAATTTATAATATCATCTCTTACTCTTGTCCTAAAGGACTTTCCAAATTGTCAGCCTCAAGTATACATAACCATTTAGGTTATGCATAAAAGAATCAAATAATCAACCAAATCCTACCTATAGGATAACCTTGATGCTTATTATAGTGCTACAAAATTCAATTACAAAAGGACATTTTTATTATTTTTGGTGGGTGGGTGGGTGGGGGTGTGTGTGTGTGTGTGTTTCTTTTTTTGAGACAGAGTCTCACTCTGTTACCCAGGCTGTAGTGCAGTGGTGTGATTTCAGCTCACTGCATCCTCTGCCTCCTGGGTTCAAGCAATTCTCCTGCCTCAGCCTCCTGAGTAGCTGGGATTACAGGTGCATGCCACCACATCTGGTGACTTTTTGGACTTTCAGTAGAGACCACGTTTCACTGTGTTGGCCAGGAAAGTCTCCTGATCTCGTGATCTGCCTGCCTCGGCCTCAAAAAGTGCTGGGATTACAGGTGTGAGCCACCACGCCCGGCCTACATTTTTAACAAGAACAAAACACCAAGGATTTTCCGTTTTTTGTACCCAGTTAGGCAGATAATTTAATTAATCTAATTACATTAGAGCAGTTTGGCTAATTAAATTTTTACTTTATAGTAATTTATTACGATATCCTTTTCAAAGAATGTACAGGCTGGGCACAGTGGCTCACACCTGTAATCCCAGCACTTTGGGAGGCCAAGGCAGGTGGATGACCTGAGGTCAGGAGTTCGAGACCAGCCTGGCCAACATGGTAAAACTCCATCTCTACTAAAAATAAAAAAAAAAATTAGCCAGGCATAGTGGCATGTGCCTGTAATCCTAGCTACTCTGGAGGCTGAGACATGAGAATCACTTGAATCTGGGAGGCAGAGGTTGCAGTGAGCCAAGATTGCACCACTGCACTCCAGCCTGGGCAGCAAGAGCGAAACTCAGTCTCAAACAAAAAAAAGGAATGTACAATCTGGTTAAATGGGTTACTATTAAGTGCCCATCTGGAAACAAGGAAAAGGACTAAAAGGACTAGCAGATGTTTATGATGGAAACTGTAACTTTATTATAAGCATAAAACTAGATATTATAATAGTGATACTATTGTGGGGGAAGCATTACAACTTAAAGTCTGATATAATTACAAAATCTTGTAATTACAAGGCAGACTAATTGTCTAGTAAAAATAGGTTACTGCTCTAGGCAGCTAGAAAGAGAATAGGGCTAATAATATCTAATATCTATAGATGCAACCTCTCCCAAACATGCCCTGGAAATGCTTTAAAAACCACAAGGTAGGAAAATTGTCTAATAACCATTTAATACTGCAGTACATTAAGAAATGTTCTAAGTTAACATGGGGAGAAGCTCAGTGAAAACATGATCCTACAAAAAGTAACCCTTGACTTAAAAATCTACTCTTCTTATAACAGACTCCAACTGACAACTTCTTTGTATCAAACTCTGAAGCCTTTCACAAACGTGACAAAACATTATGTTCTACAGTGTGTGATGGTAGCAGCAATCATCAAAAGCAAAGAGCATCTACAACTTAACGTGTATCTCTGAATATACTGGAATGTGGCCATTCCAGCACTCTATCAAGTTCTAATCAACCACATTTGAATAGAGTTCACTATAGAAATATTATCCACTATGATATTTAGCAGGCAAGAACATCTGCAACTATTATTTTCACAGAACTGATACTTACAGCTGAGCTCTATCGGCATTAAGATACACAGGATCCTGCAGAGTGTTTCTTAAAAGCCTGATACACTGAAAAAGAAACTTCAGTCAATTACTTCTAACTAAACCCCAATGGCCTTAATTAAGATTACATTATTTTCTTACCTTTTAAAAAGTGTTTCACCTAGTATTTGATCCCCATGCGTCTGTATTTATCTGTCATCACTGTTAATTGTCCATGTTACTTTGAGACTTCAGGTATTATTTATTTATATGGTTGTACTAGAACAACTTGATATCTGTGAAGGGAAACCATAATATAGTCACTATGGATGTGTTACTGTTTACAAATTTGGGACTAAAAGTGGTAATATTTCCAAACACTTATATAGCATACTTCATTTTCTATTAAACTTCATAAATAATTCCTTACATTTAGCTGTGAAATATGTGTCTTCAACAAACTAAGATGATTGGCTAACACTTGCAAATTCTTTTTAGAGAGTACTCACATATAAGTTTTCTAAATTTAATTCTAAACTTAAATCCTTACAAACTGAAGAGTTCCTCAGGTTCCTTTTCTTACTATCAGTTTGTATGTATGTATGTATGTATGTATGTATGTATGTATGTATGTGTATGTGTGTGTGTGTGTGTGTGTATATATATATATATATATACATATATGTATGTCATTTCCCACAAGTCTAAATAGAAAAGTACTTTTTTGTGTTTTTTATATTTTAGGGAATAAATCTATAATTCTTAAAAATGAAGTAAAAAAAGATAACAACTGCCTTTTAAGTGTCACTTTAAACATCTAATATCTTCTCAAGTAATTTTGGAAGTAAATAGAAAATAAATGTTATTTAAAATAAACTGAAATGTAGCTGTACAAACATTCCTTAAAGGTAAGCTTCATAAAAACAGACTTGGTTGAAGTTTACAAGTCTGAGAAATATATCCACACACACCTACAATGATGACCAAAAGCACTGTGCAGAATTTTAAGTCACTTTAACCAGTTTATCAGTGGAAAAAAATGAGCTATAAAAGAATATTCATTCATACATAAAAAAGAAAGCAGCCTATGAATAGCATTCTAAAATGTTTCACCATGCTGTACCACTCCACTACACAGTAAAAAGCGTACAAATCTACATGGAAAATACAAATAACCTTGCAGGGCACAGTAGCTCATGCTGTAATCCCAGCACTATGGGATGCCAAGGCGGGAGGATCCCTTGAGCCCAAGCATTCGAGACCAGCCTGGGCAACACAGTGAGCCCTCTTCTCTACAAAAAAATGAACAACATTAGCCAGCTGTGGTTGTATGTGTCTGTAGTCCCAGCTACTTGAAAGGGTGAGGTGGAAGGATCACCTGAGCCCAGGAGATTGAGGCTGCAGTGAGTCGTGACTTGTACCACTGAACTACAGCCTAGGCAACAGAATAAACTTTATCTTAAAAAAAAAAAAAAATTTTTTTTTTAATGAAAATGCATGCATATGTGCTTTCTTACACATGCTTTCTGGATACAACTTGTTATTAGGGTTGTCAACCTTCAGATATTCTCAGTGAGACGTTTCATTAACAAAAGAGTGATTAAGAAACTATTATCTATCCTCAAACACAACAATTTCTTATTCATTTGTTTTCAAACATTAAAAGTAACACCATAAAAAAATTAACACTTTAGGATGCCAAGGCAGAAGGATCACTTGAGCCCAGGAGTTTGAAATCATCTTGGGCAATAAAGTAAGACCTCATCTCTACAAAAAATAGAAAAAGGTAGCCACATGTGGTATGTGGTGGTGTGAGCCTGTAATCCCAGCTGCTAGGGAGGATCCTTAGAGCTGCAATGAGATGTGATTGTACCACTGTATTCCAGCCTAGGTGACAAAGCAAGACCTTGTCAAAACAAAAACCAAACTTAAAAAAAAAAAAACTAAACTAAATATTTTCTAAGTTTAAAGATTGTCATGACCTCTCTTGTAAAAGAAGCAAGGAAATTAAACGAGCCACAAGTCTTATAGCCCCTATATTGTGTTCTTCACTTCACTCAATATACATTTCAAACTTAAGCATTCTGCAAAACCGCTATATGCTTTCTGGAACAGAAAAACTACTTGGAATTACGACAATACACAGTAATTTTTTTCATTTGAATTATTTAACTACAGTAACTTACTTCCAGAAGTTTAAAAAACAGCATTTTGTCTTTTTTAAAATACACAAAATGGAAAACAAACTATGTAAGTCCTATTCCTAAGGCCATCTTATTTATTTCTTGGAACAGAGCTTTGCTTGTTTCCATGTACTAGTAAAATTCATTGACTATTCAAGCATTCCAAAAGCAAACCCAGAACCAATCTTCACTGAAAAGAATTACTTTTCCTACTTCTTATAGTCTTAACACTGGTACTACTGTGTTAAATAGATTACATGATCTCAGATTCACAGCACACAGGTAATCACTTCAAAAGACTACAGTAAATCTCACTAGAAGGTTCTGACAGCTCTAGTGATATAACCAGGATATAAGCCACACAACTTAATATTAAAATAAAACAATGAAGTTCAAGCTAAGCACAATCTCTAAATTTTCAGCCACTGCAAATTTTTTTTTAGTTTTATAAGAGCTTGGAAAAAATTCAAAAGGAAGGTCATACAACAGAGTCATATTTATTACTTGATTCTTCAGTTATAAGTGAAAGTACCACATACCGACACTATACTATGATTTTAAATGATTTCATAAGAAAGAGACATTTGCCAGGCGCAGTGGCTCATGGCTGTTTCTCAGCACTCTGGGAGGCCAAGGCGAGTGGATTGCCTGAGGTCACAAGTTCAAGACCAGCCTGGCCAACATGGTAAAACCCTGTCTCTACTAAAAATACAAAAATCAGCAAGGCATGGTGGCAGGCGCCTGTAATCCCATCTATTTGGGAGGCTGAGACAGGAAAATCACTTGAACCCGGGAGGCGGAGGTTACAGTAAGCCGAGATCACGCCACTGCACTCCAGCCTAGCGGACAAGAGCAAGACTGAATCTTAAAAAAACAAAAAAGTAAAGAAAGAGACATTCAATGTCAGTTGTAAAAAGCATTAAGATAATGGTCAAAGACAAAAACACCTTTCTTTTTTTTAAGATGGAGTTTTGCTCTTGCTGCCCAGGCTGGAGTGCAGTGGTGCAGTCTCAGTTCACTGCAACCTCCACCTCGCGGATTCAAGCGATTCTCCTGACTCAGCATCCCAAGCAGCTGGGATTACAGGCGCCTGTCACCACGTCCAGCTAACTTTTGTATTTTTAGTAGAGATGGGGTTTTGCCATGTTGGCCAGGCTGGTCTTAAACTCCTGAACTCAGGTGATCCACCCACCCTGGCCGCCCAAAGTGCTGGGATTACAAGCGTAAGCAACCATGCCCAGCCCAGAAACACCTTTCCTAGACAATTAAACTTTCACAGTCACTTGCTATAAAGAGCTGAACCAAATTTTCATTTGGTACAATAATCAGAGAAGACTACGTTTTTCTGGCTCCCTAAATTGCTCAGAACCACATGTTCAGTGTCTTAGATGCCTTCTATAGATTTTCAAAGATAAGCCTATTTCATAATCAACAGAAAGATAGTAGGAAGAGTATAGGATTTGGTGTAAGGAGATAGAAGTGTGATTCTCTGTCGTCAATAATCACTTCCCCATAAGCAAGTCACTTTGTCTAGCTGTGCTTTATTTCTTCATCTACAAAATGAAGACATAATACTGCATACTACCTTTAAGGGCTATTGTGAAGTTCAGAAGAGATCACATCTGTGAAGTACTTCAGGTTATTGGTTCCCGAATTTTAGTGGCTAAATCTAAGAAATCTAAGAAATTCTTGAACCCAATCACCTCATAAATTCAGATTCAAAAGGCCTCAACACAAATGCATATATTTTCATTTTCAATTAAGTACTTCAGGTCATTCCAATATATGACTGGAATGTATGACTGGAATGGCCTGAAGTGCTTAATTGAATATGGGCTCTCAATGATGATCATACTTTGAAAAAAACTACATCAGTTTCTTCTAAAACTTTAGTGTTCAGACTGGGAGCAATGGCTCATACTGGTAATCTCAGCTCTTTAAGAGGCCAAAGCAGAAGAATAACTTTGAGGACAGGAGTTGAAGACCAGCTTGGGTAACATGGCAATACCCTGTCTCTACAGAAAAAAAAAAAAAAATACTCACAAAAAAATTAGCAGGGCATGGTGGTATGCACCTGTTGTAGTCCTAGCTACTCAGGAAGCAAGAGGCCTGGAGTTCGAGGCCGCAGGCTACGGTAAGCTACGATCACACCAATGCACTACAGCCTGGGCAACCAAGTGAGACCCTGTCGCTAAAAAATTACTTAATTAAAATAAATTTTAGTGTTCATAAGCATTAAATCTAGGTACATTCTAGCTGGGCGCAGTCACACACACCTATAGTCCCAGCTACTTGGGAGGCTAAGGGAGGAGAACTGCTTGAGTCCAGGAGTTCTAAGTTGTAGTACACTTTATCAATCAGGTGTCTGCATTAAGTTCACCATCAATATGGTGACCTCGGGGAGCAGGAGACGACCAGGTTGCCTAAGGAAGGAAGAACTGGCCCAGGTTGGAAACAGAACAGGTCCAAACTTCCATGCTAATCAGTAGTGGGACTGCATCTAAGAATAGCCACTGCACTCCAATCTGGGCAAAATGGTGAGACCCTGTCTCTTAAAAAAATAAAAAGAAAATGAAATATAATCCAGATTTCTAAACCTCATCCTTAAAAATTCAGATACAGGCCTGGCACAGTGGCTCACACCTATAATCCCAGCACTGGGACGCTGAGGTGGGTGAATTACCTAAGGTCAGGAATTCGAGACCAGCCTGGCCAACATGATGAAACCCTGTCTCTACTAAAAATACAAAAATAGTCAGGTGTGGTGGCGCATGCCTGTATAATCTCAGCTACTTGGGAGGCTGAGGCAGAAAAAAAATCACTTGAACCTGGGAAGTGGCGGTTGCAGTGAGCCAAGAGATCATGCCACTGTACTCTATCTAGCCTGGGAAACAGAGAAAGACTCTGTCTCAAAAAAAAAGAAAAAAAAAATCAGATTAAATAAACTTGGAATGGAGCACACAATCTTCACTTACCATTATTCAGGAGATTCAGATGTAAATGAGTTACAATACACCCTTTTAGAAATCCTACACTAGCTTCTTCCTCCTAAATATTTCTCAAATTGTTCCCACTTCTGCAGTATCATCACCCATGAACAATTTTAGGCCTTC